AAAACAAGGTGTAGTATGTGTTACATAGTTTTTCAAAGGAAAGTAAAGTCTGAAACAGAAATTTATGGTTTTATATTGAATCCTCTATGTTGTGCTGTGTACATGGAAATTTTTTTTAAATTTAAGTTTAAAATCAATAAAAATTTTTTTAAATGTTATTGATTAAAAAAAGGCATTCCTCTTCCCCTTCCCCTCAACTTTCTTCCTCTTTGCTTTTTGTTATACCTTTACCTCTTTTAGAGGCTTTGCTTAACCTGTTAGTTCTTTCTTCCATTTATCTCAGAGTTCTCCAAATCTTCCCCACTTTTTTCATCTTTCACTTAAAGTATAATCTTTCTCCTTCCTTTCTTCTACTTCAATTTATTAGTTTTAAATTTTCGTTTTCAGTGCCTTTTCATAAAAAAGGATTTCTTTTCTCTTATTCCCTCCATTATTTCTTTTCTCTGTGTGTACTAGATTTTTATTTTTTCTTTCATAGACTTTATATTTATTTGTTTCTTCTTTAATCTCTGCATTTTTCATGGAATTAAAGCTTGTAAGATATCTATTTTGAGTTTTGTCTTCTAAAAAGTTTTAAGTTTTTACCTTGTTACAGTTTGTCCTCTGGCCCTCATTTTCCCTTTTGCCTCATTCTTAGAAATATTGATGTCTTCAGGTAAGATGAAGGATAAAAGCATTGCTGCAATGTAGGAATTTCCCTATGTCCTTGCTTGTGCAGTTTGTTATTAACCTTTGTCCTCCCCATGATCATTCTTCCCACATTTGATGAAGTCTCTTCTGTTGATGCATATGCTTCTAGTTTTGAAGGTGTCATTTGTTCTTCAGAGTTCTGATTCCCATTTCCATTTTTTAATTAGTGTGTTCTGTATTCTTTAAGTTATCTCATAGCATCCTTTCTTTAAAATCATTATATTTTGCCTGTATGGAGATATGTTCCTTTTAATGTTAATCGCTTTTTACTTCACTTCTTCCTGCTTGCCCTTCACTCCTGTGTACTTGCATTTCTAATCAGTTGTTCTGCTTTCTGTTTCTCTGGTGAGACTTGCCGCTACAGACTCACATTTTTTTTTAAATTCTGCTGATAATTTCTACCATACAGAGCATTCATAAATTCTGCTTTCACTATATTCTTACTTCTCTTTTAAGCCATTCAGGAACTTCTTGCTGTGGTCCCATGCTCTCTTGGGAATCTACAGGGTCCTCTGCCTCATCTGCCTTTTGATTAATTTTCATTTGTCTTCCAATATTTATTAATAGATGTTTGGACCAAATTAGGTGATATGGAAAAAAAATTTTCTTTTGTTATAAATAACATAAATATAACATAATATAAATATAATATAAATATAATATAAATATATTCCCTTTTGGGTTATCTGCTTATTGGTCTGTAATGAAGTTTTCTTCCTCCTTAGATTTTCAGGAATTTGAGTCTTTTCGTTATGTTCTCCCATCTTTCACTTTCTGTCTCTTTTCCCTTTGATAGCTGATACTTTAGGGCAGGGGTGGGGAACCTGTGGCCTCACATGTGGCCCTTTAGGTCCTCAAATGCTGCCCTTCGACTGAACCTAAGCTTCACGGAACAAATCTCCTTAATAAGAGGATTTGTTCTGTAAAACTTGGGGTCAAAAGACCCCACCAAAGGACCCAGAAGGCCACATGTGGCCTCAAGGGAGCAGGTTTCCCCACCCCTGCCTAGGAGCTGGAACTCAAAGATATCTCAGCTTCTTCCTGATGAGGTCTAGAGGTTTAGGGATGCTGGAATCCCAAAATTATGACGCACAGGTCCTGTCCGAAAGAATTCAGCCCTAGCCTTCTTTCAGTCAAAGACAAGGTTTATTAAAGATCCACCATATTAGCCACTCTTAAGGAATCTGATCACCTGGGAGCTATTGGCTACATTGTAAAAAAATCTGAGCAGTGGCTAGATTCTAAGAATCTGAGCACCTTACTGGAGACAAGATGGACTTTATATACAGAAAGACTGTAGGAGGGATCTAGGAAGGATCTTGATGGGAGTGACTGGAATGGGGTCTAGGTAGGGTCAAGGGTGGGAAGTAGCCAGGGGCTATAGGGAGGTAAGGCAATGGAGGGCTAGGCTAGGTTAAGGTAACAGAAATGGGAGATTGGACAGAACAGTTGATACAGGCTCAGGCGAACGCCAGAGATTTGGCCATGTGGGAAAGTCCAGGGTTTTTCCTTTTTGGGGTCCAGATTCCATCCCCATCATTCTCACACTTGGAAATTCACATTTCATTGGGCTAGGTCTCTTTCCAAAGTCACTTCTGGGAGGAACAGAGAGTGGCCAAACTTAAGTATCATCTGGAACGAACTCCTGCCTTTTCGTTTTCCTGGTGTTAGGAAGGAATTACAGAGTGCAGAGTTGAGTTCTGCTGTAAGCCCTTTGGTTTGTTTGTGTAGACCTGCCGGAGTATGGGGACTCTCCTTTGCAGTTAATTGAATATATATGTATTCGAAATAGTTCCTGATGCTCAGGTAGAGTATGCTGTCAAGGGAATGATAGGTAGAAATTTAAATGAAGGCATACTTATACAGAGGATTACTCTGGAGAGTTCTAGAATCACCATTTGTTTTTGAGACAGTGTGAGTGAGTGGGGAAACCAGAAATATCTCAGTGTATAAAAAAGCTAAAACTGTGAATGGAGCTGTGCAGGTCACCCCTCCCCCTTTTACCTTAATTTTAATAAATGTATGCATTTTAAAATAATTTTTATTTAATAGTGTTTGATTTTATGGCTCGTGGACACAGGCTCCCCCCAACACCCATAATTTTTTCCTCTGCTTTCCCACTGAAGAACTTTACCTTCAGATGATTGGCTTTTGGGGGTCTGTCCCTCTACCTAATTCTTTTCAGTACCATGAGCACCAGACATTCATGATATTAATTTTGCTTGTCTTGTTTGTGATACCATTAACTCTTGTCTCCTTCCTAACTATACTCCATAGCTTATCAAGGTTAACCTTTGGGCAGAATATTTGGCTTTTCCTCAAGGGGTAATATCTCATAGCCACTTTCCCAAAGGAACTTGTGGAAGTTAATTCAGAGATGGTGCAAACCACCTACCCTCACTCCCTTGGCCTTCCCTCAGGGCACTTCTGCTGCTTGCCTGTGTGTCAGTGGCCTTGGCTGAATTGCTCTTTGGGAACTTCTGGGTTTTCCTCAATCTGGAAGGCTGGATTTGGGGGTGGGGAGTGAAGAGAAGTGAAAAGAGGCCAGACTTGGGGGAGAAGGACAAGGCTCATACTAGATGTCTCCCTCATCTCAAGCCTAACCTCCCCTAAATTAAGGCTCTTCAGCTCTGTCTTATTTAAGACTCCTGCTCCATTCTGACTCAGGCCACTGAGGCAAAGACAGGGGAGGGGAAAGATTGACTAGGGAGCTAGAATTTTATTTCTCAAGCACAGGTAACATGTATTTTTAAAAATTAAATAAATTTTTCAATGAATAAAATTCTATTTTCTCTCTATCCTATTGGAAAAAAAAGGAAAATAAATATGCGTAGTCATGTAAAACAAATCCTTGTGTTGGCCATGTCCAGAAATATATGTCTCAGTCCCTTCCTTGAGTCCATCATCTCTCTGGCAGGAGAATGCACACATTTACAGAGCCACACCCACACTTCTGTGCAGGAGCCAAATGCAGGCCCTCCAGTGTTTCATGCCAGGCTTTTCCCAGTGCTTGCTGTCCTTCGTCTTTTGCCTTTGTGTGAGGGCTAGACTGTCCTGAGTGGAGGCTCTGGGGCCTCCTAGACTTAACAGGGGATGGGGGAAAGAAGAAGGAGCTGATATGAGCCCTCTGGCCTGGAGGCCCCTTTCCAGGGTTTACTCTTCTGTCAAAAGGACAGAAGGTCCAAAAGGCAGCAGGGCATGACAGGGCAGGACAGAGCCAGGCTGACTTGAAGCAGTAGAAGATGAGAGGAGGCACGATTAGTGGATGTTGAAACAAAGAACTTCCCTACCCCCAAACCCTTTGCTTATCCTTATCTTACTGCTGCTATTGCATGGCCCTGCCCTAGGGAGAAAATGGCAAGGGACCATGGTTGTCTGCCAGGGCATAAAGGCAGTGAGTGGGATTGGGAGGTGGAGAGGGTTAACACCTACAGTTTCCAACAAGAGCATATATGTTCCTGAATGACTTCCTGAACATCTTGGCTTTTCAGATTATGATCTTTCAGTTCTTTCTGTGGTTTCTAGTGGGCATAGAATAGTATTGTGCTATTTGGATGTTCATTATTTTATATTTAAAGGTCTTTCACCTTTCCGCTTGCCTTATTTGTTGGTTGTTACTGGAATTGTTCAATTTAACCACTTTTAGCTTCAGATTAGAAGCTTGCTGTATATTTAGAAGTCCTGTGCTATCTTCTTTATGATTTTTAATAAATTTTAAAACTTTTAAAGTGTTATTTTAAAAATTCTCGTGTACTTTGGAGGTCAGCGATCCTTATATTTTCTCTGTGCATTTTGTATTTGAGGTTAATGGTGAACAGGTATCTCCACATTCCACCTTCTCTGCTGCCACTTCCTCACCAACTCCTCCTTCCCATCCTAGAAAAACTTCTCTGAGACCTTCTTTTCCTAACTGGTGAATGCCTGGACTTCTAGAGAGGCTCCCAGAAATGCTTTACTTAACTCCCAGACTCTCTATTAGCAATTACTTTTAGTTTTTATTTATAAGTATCTAGCATCGACTACCTCAGTCACTCTAGTGAATACTTCTCAAATAAGAACTATAGCAGAACGTGTACCAGGAAAGGATTGAGGGATGGCTAAACTCTTCCCTGTTCCCTTCAATTTTGAAAGACTACTTGTCCTTTGCAAAGAGAGATGGGAAGTTTGGGCTCACTCAGATGTTTCAAATCGGGCACAGAATATTGTTTCCCATAGTAGGGCTTCTTTAGCTAACAAGCTTTGACCCTCATACTATTAGAGAGTAGGAAGAAGAAAAAAATAAGCTAATACAATTTTTATTCATTTTGTAGAAGTCATAACTTAAAAAGGAGACTTCAACCCAGTTGTCCTGAGGAATCATCAGCTCCCAGAGATTCCAATAACAGATTTGTCCTGGCTCTTCTTTTCAGTCTTCTTACCTCGAACTTGAACAAAAAATCCCTGTGACTGCCAATTCCAGAACTGACTGAAAGAAGGACAAATGGGTCAGGTGTGCATATTACACGCATACCAGAACTGTGAATTTATAAAAGTTAATTTGGAGTCTCAGTCTAGATTCTGATACTTGGAAGTATTTGAAAGTAATCCTGGAACCTTCAGGCAGTGCTTTGAGGAGAAAGCACTGACTGTCTAAAGAAGTCACACAACTGTAAAAATGTGTGTGACACATATTTCTGTTGCATGATGTAGACTGGTCCATCTCTGCAGCATCCAGCATCACTGTCATGACTGTCAAGATACTGACAAGGAGTCAAGCCAAGTCACAGGTAAGATAGTAGCTTCTTGGTATTTGCAGTCCACTTAATGGAGAATTTTCTAATCTTTTAAAGATAGGGGATAAGATTTGGGACTAATAAGCTTGTGACTTCATTATTATGGGTAATTCCCAGATGAGGAAATTTTCTCTACCAATGATAATCTGTACCTTCTCTGTAACATAGTCTAAAAGAGTTGCCTAGAACACTGTAAAGTTAAGTGACTTGCCCAGAGTTATTTAACCAATATGTGTCAAAGGCAGGACATGAACCTAGGTATTCTTAGTACTGAGTCTGACTATTCACTATTCCCCATTGCTTCATATATTTTGAAAAAAAAACTTTGCTGATCTGATGAGTGAATATAAGGTGATGATGTGGGGATGCTTTCATTTGTATTTTGCTTAGTAATTTTATCATTTTTTCAGAATATTGTTATAGTTTGAATTTCTTCTTTTGAAAACTTCATATCCCTTAAAAATTTTCATATTAACTTTTAATCTAATTGATTTGGTTCAGTTTCCCATAGATTTTGGGTATAAGTTTTTATCATTGATATTTGACCCTTTTTCTGCCTTCTAAGGCCATAACAAGACTAATCCCTTTTTCACCTAACAACTTTTCAGATAGTCTGTTACAACTATCAGATCCCTCATTAACCTTCTTTCTTCTAGGCTATCACCAGTGGCCTCCATTGATACCCATATTTCATCATCTTTCTGGCCCTTCACCATCTAGTACATCTTTATCAGGATGTTTTCCAGCTATTTTCTAAATGCTTCCTAAAATGCAGTAATTGAACTGAAAACAATTCTTTATTTATGGAGGTCAAGTACCTTTGTTGAGGCCCCATGATGGAACCAGCTTACACCTTCTACTCCATTCTTTCTAGTGCTTTATGAAGACTTCTCAGAGAATGGGCAAAAGAGAAATGGAAAGCTTTGTAAGTGTTTCTCCCCACCTTCAGAGAGGCTTTTTAGGAGTGACTAATCCTGTTGAAAAAGAGGATGACAGCCTTCTTAAACCTAGATTGGAAAAAGGATGAAAGGCAAATAAAATACTAGCTCATGGTGAACAAAGGTTTTGGGATCATTTATTAGGAGAGTTAAATCAGCTGCTTGAGTCAGTCATTTTGTGCATCAATGTGGTTGATACAGTGAAGCTTTTTAAATGAAAGAGCTGAAGATGTTTTGACTACCCAAGAGGATATTGCCTGGAAGGCCTTACTTTAGAATGTGATTTACAAGAATCAATTATATGACAGTATTTTCAAAATAGGAGGTTGGTGACCTCCCATGTAATTTTGAAAAAGGAGATCCAAATAGCAGACATCAACCATTATTCAGTCAATGGTACTGGATGACAAATTCCCAATTGTTGGATAGAAATAGCTTTAGCTCAAATGTTTATCATGTATATTCCCAGCAAATATCCTAGTTTGATGGCAATACTACAGAAGAGCTGCCTTATATACTTTCTCCTGATTCTGTTATGAGTGAACAAGCTTGTATTTATTTGAACTTTGTTATCTTAAGAAAAGAGAAGTCTAGGTGGGCATGTTCATTCAGAGACTCTTTCTTATCCAGACAGCTGCTGCCCGTTCTCTTGTTTGTTATGTCTTCTCCCTTTGTATGTCATTGGCCTATAGTTTTCTTTCTGTGTTTTATCTTTCCCTGGCTTAGGTATTAGGACAGCAATATTTGTCTCATAAAAGGATTCTGATAGGGTACTTTCTCAATTTTTTGCAATAATTTGTGAATTGTAGGTTTTCAGAGTTTGATAGAATTCTCCTATAAGCCCATCAGGACCAGGATTCTCCTCCCCCCCCCCAGTAGTTTCACATTGAGAAACAAAAAAACAAAACCTATTACAGATATAAAAGTCAAGCAAAACAAATTACTTTATTAACTATATCCAAAACAAATATGTTCCAGTCTTCACACTTAGTCCTTTCCCTTTCTATCTGTATATACGGATAGTATGTTTTATCATGAGTCCTCTGGAATTGTGGTTGGTTATGGTATTGATCAAAGTTCCTAAGTCTTTCCAACCTCTTTGTCTTTATAATATTGTATAAGTTGTTCTTTTATATAAATTGTGCTTTGGGTTCTGATTATACAGCATTACATAAATTGTTCTTTATTATATAAATTATTCTCTTGATTCTGTTCATTTCATTATGCATCAATTCATACAAGTCTTCCCAGGTTTCTCTCAAACTATCCACTTCATTTCCTACAGCACAATCATATTCTATCACATTCATATAGCATAACTTTTTCAGCCATTCCTCAATTGATGGGCACCCACTCAGTTTCCAGTTCTTTTCCACAATAGAGAGGTGCTAAAATATTTTTTATACATATGAGTCCTTTTCCTTTTGCTTTGAACTCTTTAGAGTATATATCTGGTAGTGGTATTGCTAGATCAAAGAGTATATGGGCTAAAGACTTAAGGGGAAACCCAAAGAATTAGGGGCAAAAGTGAAAAAAAGAACGTTAATGTTCCATGAACTAACCTCTTTGATTTCCTTTAGAGCATCAGTGTCTGAGTAGGGAGGGGAGAGGGGGAGAATAAAAATGGGAAGTTATGTAATTGGGGACAGGAGAGGTAAGTGACTAAGAAAAGCAGGTGATATTCCCTTACCAAATACAAAGATCAACAATGAAAGGTTTATAATTCCTGTAGTTTATCAAGAAGGTGGTAGGATGGGTGGGGAGACTGTGGGAAAATCGAGTAAAAGAAATGAGAAAGAATGGTATGTGAGGGAGTAGAAAAGGCTTCTTCCCAAAATGGGACAGGAAAAGATGCCAATAAAGATCATTTCTGTGGGAGAGGAGTTATATGTCAGCAATAAAAGAAAGAGACCTTATAATGGCTTTCATCTGGGGAGATTTTGCAAATTAGGAGACTACCTCTGAGAAAATGTGCTCTCCTGAAAAGTATTCCACTCAAAGATGGGAATGTTTCAGTTATTTTGAGCAGCCGGCACCCAGAGTACTAAGAAGTCATAGAGCTAGAGGTTTGATAACATGGCCTTAGGAATAGTGAACAGTTATGGAAAGGAATGAAATAGAAGCAGCCTCTAGAGTTGTGACACAGAGTGACTCCTATCACACAACACTATTTCTATCCAACATCCCATATAAATTTTATTTCTTAGAGCCAGAAACAGCAGGGAAAAAAGGGAAGATAAGGTAAGATTTACAAAGGCAACAATATAGAAATTGGATGGAAGAGAGAACTCAAACCTAGTACTTTAGAAACTTTATTCCTATGAGGGACAAATAATAAACAAGGAACAAGAAAGTGTATTGACCATAAATTAGGGAGGCAAGAAAGTCATAAAGAAGACTTAAGAAAGGGCACAATTAAAATTACTATTGATAACAGGTTGTTGGAAAGGGAAGATTTTGAACCACCCACCTAACTAGATCGTAGAAAAAGGGATAAAAAAGGGGGAGAAATACTTAAATAAACACAAGAGTGAAATGAACAATTTAAATTTAAAGAATTGGGGGGGGCAGAGCCAAGACGGCAGAGTAAAAGAAGTGACTTGCTTGAGCTCTCCCCCAAACCCCTCCAGATACCTATAAAAATGGCTCTAAACAAATTCTAAAGCAGCAGAACCCACAAAAAGAAAAGTGAAACAAATTTCCAGCCCAAGACAGCCTAAATGGTTGATCAGAAAGGTATATCGTGCTGGCCTGGCAGAGGAACGCAGTTAGGCGTGGGCGCGCAGGCCACAGTGTACCTGGAGCAGGCTTTAGAGGATCGAATTACTGGCAGCTGTGGCGGTTTCCAGACTTCTCAACCCACAAATGCCAAAGACAACTTAGAAGGTCAGTGGGAAAAGTCTGTTTCTACAGGGTCCCAGCCCCATTCCCTGAGCTCAGCCCCAGGGCAGCGGCTGCATCCTGAGCTTCTGGCCCACAGACTGAGGGGAAATAAAATGGCTGATCAGAGGGGGATTGCAGGGATCTCTCTGCTGGTGCAGGATTCTCTTGCTTTCCTGTGCTTGGATCTGGGTCACAGTTCTGGGTGGCAGTCCTGTGGTGAGGAGGAGCGCTGGTGTGGTGAAAGCTTGTGGTGGAACTTGTAGTGGTTGTGCAGTGAAAATCCTTCCCACAGTTCAAGACAGATAAGAGTTCTTGTGGTCACTCATAGAGCAGAGCACAGGGCAGGAAAGGAGTAAATACCTCGCCCTTGATTGTAGCACCTTGGAAGAACTGAAAATTTACAGTTCCCTAGAAATATCTCTGAAAACAGCTGCACAAACCCCCTGAAGCTTGGGACAGTACATTCCCCAAACTGGAAACAGACACCTATCTTAGCAAAGAGTTTATAACTCAAGTAATTGACCAGGATTGTGAGCAAGCAGCGCAAAAAGAGTCAGACTATTTTATCTTACTTTGGTGACAAAGAAAATCAAAACATACAACCAGAAGAAGACAACGAAGCCAAAGCTCCTACATCCAAAGCCTCTAGGAAAAAAATGAATTGGTCCGAGGCCATGGAACAGCTCAAAAAGGATTTTGAGAAGCCAGTGAGAGAAGTAGAGGAAAAACTGAGAGTGAGTGATGCTAAAGGAGACCCAAAAAAATGCTGAAGAAAATAACACCTTAAAAAATAGCCTGACCCAAATGGCAAAAGAGGTCCAAAAAGCTAATGAGAAGAAGAATGCCCTAAAAAGCAAAATTGGCCAAATGGAAAAGGAAGTCCAAAAGCTTACTGAAGAAAATACTTCCTTAAAAATTAGAATGGAGCAATTGGAAGCTAGCGACTATATGAGAAATCAAGGCACTGTAAAACTAATCTAAAAGAATGAAATAATAGAAGAGAATGTGAAATATCTCATTGGAAAAATAACTGACCTGGAAAATAGATACAGGAGAGAGAACTTAAAAATTATTGGACTGTCTGAAGGCCATGATCAAAAAAAGTGCCTAGACATTATCTTGCAAGAAATCTTGCCCTGATATTTTAGAACCAGAGGGCAAAATAAAAATTGA